ATGATTTGTAGGAAGTGCAAAAGAAGAAAATTAAAAGTGATACAGGAAAGAGTAAGGTTATGAGGATAACAAAAAGATTAGGTGATGAAAAGATTGGAAATCAGATTGGAAGGGAGAGAGTATGGAGAGGTGAAATGTATTCAGATATTTGGGAGTGGACATGTAGCGGAAGGGTCTATGAAAAGCTGAGGCGCGCTCACGCTCGCTAGAGAGATGAATGAGGGGAAAAACGGGTGAGTGGTGCACTTAGGAGTCTGTGGAAACAAAGAAACTTTGTCCTTGGAGGCAAAGAGGGGAAGTATGAGAGTATAGTTTTACCAACGCCTCTTATATGGGTGTGAAAGGCATGGGTGTGATGTTGCAGCGAGGAGAAGGCTGGCGAGGCAGTGGAGATGTCATGTCTGAGGGCAATGTTGGGTGTGAATATAATGCACGAGAAATTCGTAGTTGGAAGTTAGGAGGAGGTTGCGGGATTCAAAAACTGTTGTCCAGAGGGTGTGGAGGGATGTTGAGGTGGTTAGGCATGTACCAGAGAATGGAGCGAAACAGAATGACTTCATGTGGTATCAGTCAGTAGTGGAAGAAGGCGGGGTGGGGTCGGCCTAGGAAAGGTTGGAGGGAGGGGGGTAAAGGAGGTTTTGTGTGCGAGGGGCTTGGACTTCCAGAGGCCATGCCATGTGAGCGTGATTGATAGGAGTGGGGGAAAAAAAAAAAAACAAATGGAGACAAGAGGTTATTAATACTTGACGTGCTGTTGGAGTTGTGTCTAGCAAAGTAACATTTATGAAGGGGTTCAAGGAAACCGGCAGGCCGGACTTGAGTCCTGGAGATGGGAAGTACAGTGTCTGCACTCTGAAGGAGGGGTGTTAATGTTGCAGTTTAAAAACTGTAGTGTAAAGCACCTTCTGGCAAGCAGTGATGGAGTGAATGATGGTGAAAAGTTTTCTTTTTCGGGCCACCCTGCCTTGGTGGGAATCGGCCAGTGTGATAATAATAAAAAAAAAAAATGTAAAAGAATTACAGGTTTTCGTTGTACACTCACTTGGCAGGACGGTAGTACCTCCCTGGGCGGTTGCTGTTTACCAACCTACTACCTAGGATATTTATATATATATTATTTCTTTCTTCTTTCAAACACCACTGGCTTGTCATCCCGCGGAGCGGGGGTGGCCCAAATGAAAAAACTAAAGTTTCTCCTTTTACATTTAGTAATATATACAGGAGAAGGGGTTACTAGCCCCTTGCTCCCGGCATTTTAGTCTCCTCTTACAACACGCATGGCTTATGGAGGAAGAATTTTTTTCCACTTCCCCATGGAAGTAAGAGGAAATAAACAAGAACAAGAATATAAATGAAAATAGAAGAAAACCCAAAGGGGGGTGTATATATATATGCTTGACATGTATGTTGTAGTGTGACCTAAGTGTAACGTAGAAGTAGGCATGACGTACCGAAATCTTGCATGTGTAGCGACAGCAAAAAAAAGCCACCAGCAATTACTACCATCGTGTAAAACAAATACAGGCTTCAGTTTTACACTCACCTGGCGCGAGCTGTATCACTCACGGTAGTACTCCCTGGGCGGTTGCTGTTTACCAACCTATACCTAGCTATTTTATATAACCTTTCTTTCAACACACCGGCCGTATCCCATTGAGGCGGGGTGGCCCAAAAGGAAAAACAAAGTTTCTCTTTCCATTTGTAACATATACGGGAGAAGGGGTCTGATCTAGACACCTGGCTCCTGGCCTTTTATTCACTCATACAACACGCCATGCTTAAGGAGAAGAATTCTGTTCCACATCCCCATGGAGGTAAGAGGGAAATAAAACAAGAACAAGAACTAGTAAGAAAATAGGAAGAAAACCCAGAGGGGTGTGTATACATATTGCTTTGTACATGTATTTGTAGGTGACCTAAGTGTAATAGAAGTAGCAAGAGTACCGAAATCTTGCATGTTTATGAGCACAGAAAAGACACCAGCAATCCTACCATCATGTAAAACAATTACAGGCTTCATTTTTCATTCACTATGGCAGGATGTAGTACCTCCATGGGCGCTGCTGTGCTACCAACCTATACCTAGGATATTTATATATAATATATATATGTAGATGGCGAGAGGAGATGAATTAGGTTAGATGGCGGAGAATATTTAGAGGGAACTTTTACATGTTAAGGAAGAAAGGGAGGCGGTAATTTCATGCACTGGCCAGGGAGGGATACCATCTTTTAGGAGTGAAGAAGAGCAAGAATGGTAAGTGTGGTTGGGTACGGTGAGGCATTCCGTAGAATGGAAAGGGGGGTAAAGCAGCTGGAACTGATGGGATCATGGACAGAAAATCGTTAAAAAGTAGGGGGGGATAATAGTTTGTTGGAGTGGTTGGAGTTTGTTTAATAAATCGTATGAAAGAGAACAAAAAAAAAAAACAAAACACCACCCCAAAAAATCGGGAAGGTACCACGCTCGCGGCATAGGCGGAGAGCATGTATGGTCCCTTTATATAAAGGGAAAGGGGACAAAGAGATTGTAAAAATTATAGAGGAATAAGTTTTATGAGTATACCAGGAAAGTATTACGGTAGGGTTATAAGTGAAAGAATTAGAGTAAGCAGAATGTAGAATTGCGGGACGAGAAGGAGGCTTCAGAGTGGGTAGGGGTATGTGTAGATCATGTGTTACATTGAAGATATATGTGAACAGTATTTAGTAAAGGTAGGGAGTTTTTATTGCATTATGGATTTAGAAAAGGCATATGATAGAGGTGGATAGAGGAGCAATGTGGCAGATGTTGCAAGCATATGGAATAGGTGGTAAGTTATAAATGCTGAGTAAGCGCTTTTCTGAGGATAGTAGGCCTCAGGTTAGGGTGCGTAGAAGAGAGGGAGATACTTCCCGGTAAAAGTAGGGTCTTAGACAGGGAGTGTAATGTCACCATGGTTGTTTAATATATTTTAGAATGGGTTGTAAAGACAGTAAATGCTAGGGTGTCCGGGAGAGGGGGGATTAAAGTATGGGGAATCAAATTCAAAATGGGAATTGACACAGTTACTGTTTGCTGATGATACTGTGCATATGGGAGATTCTAAAGAAAAATTGCAAAGGGTTAGTGGAGGAGTTTTGAGATGTGTGAAAGGTAGAAAAGTTGAAAGTGAACATAGAAAAGAGTAGAGGGTGATGAGGGTATCAAATGATTTAGATAAAGAAAATTGGATATCAAATTGGGGAGAAGGGAGTATGGAGAAGTGAATGTTTTAGATACTTGGGAGTTACGTGTCGGCGGATGGATTTATGAAGGGATGAGGTTAATCATGAATTGATGAGGGGAAAAAAGGTGAGTGGTGCGTTGAGGTATATGTGGAGTCAAAAAACGTTATCTATGGAGGCAAAGAAGGGAATGTATGGAAAGTTAGTAGTACCAACACTCTTATAAGGATGTGAAGCTTGGGTGGTAAATGCAGCAGCGAGGGAGATTGTTGGTAGGCAGTGGTGAGATGTCTGTCTATAAGGGCAATGTCGTGGTGTAAATAATTATGCAAGCAAATTCGGAGTGTGGAACAATTAGGAGAAGGTGGTGGGAGTTAATAAAAGCATTAGTCGAGGGCAGAAGAGGGGTTGTGGAGGTGGTTTGGTATTGAGAAGAAAAGGATCAAAGTAGTATGACATGGAAAGCAAATAATCTATCGGGGAAAGGAAAGAGGGGTTAGGGGTCGTCCTCGAAAGGTGGAAAGAGGGGGGGTAAAGGAGGTTTTGTGGGTGAGGGGCTTGACTTCCAGCAAGCGTGCATGAGCGTGTTAGATAGGAGTGAATGGAGACGAATGATACTTGGGACCTGACGATCTGTTGGAGTGTGAGCAGGGTAATATTTAGTGAAGGGATTCAGGGAAACCAGTTATTTTCATATAGTCGGACTTGAGTCCTGGAAATGGGAAGTACAATGCCTGCACTTTAAATGAGGGGTTTGGGATATTGGCAGTTTGGAGGGATATGTTGTGTATCTCTATACGTATATGCTTCTAAACTGTTATATTCTGAGCACCTCTGCAAAAGCAGTGATAATGTGTGAGTGTGGTGAAAGTGTTGAATGATGATGAAAGTATTTTCTTTTTGGGGATTTTCTTTCTTTTTTTGGGTCACCCTGCCTCGGTGGGAGACGACCGACTTGTTGAAAAAAAAAAAAAAAAATTAATATTATTATTAATTTAGGGCACTGGAGCACAGATCCACTGTATAGCACTTTGTCTGGATTTTTTGGGTTATCCTAGGTAATTTATACTATGTATGATAACTTGACTTACATGTACCAGTGAGAGAGAGAGAGAGAGAGAGAGATACAGAGAGAGATACAGAGAGAGATACAAAGAGACAGCCACATTCGGTCAGCCAACTACCCACCCACCCATCCAGCCACCCACCCATCCGGCCACCCACCCATCCGGCCACCTACCCACCACCCGGCTGGCCGGCCACCCACCCATCCAGCCAGCCAGCCACCCACCCAGCCAACTACAGACCCGGCCACCTAGCCAGCCAGCCGGATACGTATTACACACGTTCCAGAGTTGTTTCTCTTTACTTAGGGTATAGGTTACACAACATTCTGGCAGGATGACACTACCAGTGGTATTCTCCCATTCCACTGTGTCGACAATACATAAAGATAATAGTAACATATGATACTGTATGCGATGTAAAATTTACAATACATATCACTACCATGTATACATTATATACAGTACATAAATAATTAAAATATAACAATAGAAGTAAATTCTGGTAAAAAGAATGAAATAATGATTGTACATTACATTACAGTATTATGTAGGTAGTTTATATAGGAAAGTTTTGATATTATGCCCTACCCAATATGTCAGCAATTTTCAAAGGTTCGACTTACGTCCATTTCGACTTACGACCGGTTGGTCGGAACCAAGCTTGGTCGTAAGTCGGATGGTAGGTGTATTGACTAATTTGCATGGCACAGTCACCCCATTACTTACTGAATTGTAAAGTTCTTCAAGTCTCTGGATGCTTAGGAATTTATTCATGGTAACGCCTTGCTCTAGTAGTAGTTTGACAAACTCAATGCGATCATTCACTAGTGCGTCCATCATTGCTTGTTCTAGAGCTCCTGCGAAATAAATTTTTTTCATGATGTAATCTCTTTAAAGAATATACAAAATCTTCTTTCTTCTTTCAACAAATCGGCCGAAGCCCACCAAGGCAGGGTGGTCCAAAAAGAATCACAAAAGTTTCTCTTTTTAACAATAGTAATATACACAAGAAAGGGTTATTAGCCCCTTGCTTCTGGCATTTTAGTCACCTCTTATGACATGCATGGCTTACAGAGGAAGAATTCTGTTCCACTCCTCCATGGAGACAAAAGGAAACAAACAAGAACAAGAACTAGTAAGAAAATAGAAGAAAACCCAGATGGATCTATATATATATATGCTTGTACATGCATGTGTAGTGTAACCTAAGTGTAAGTAGAAGTAGCAAGATGTACCTGAAATCTTGCATGTTTCTTCTTTCAACAAACTGGCCATATCCCACTGAGGCAGGGTGGTCCAAAAAGAAAAACAAAAGCTTCTCTTTTTAATTTTAGTAATGTATACAGGAGAAGGGGTTACTAGCCCCTTGCTCCCAGCATTTTAGTCGCCTCTTACAACACGCATGGCTTACGGAGGAAGAATTCTGCTCCACTTCCCCATGGAGATAAGAAGAAATAAACAAGAACAAGAACTAGTAAAAAAATAGAAGAAAACCCAGAGGGGTGTGTGTATAAATGCTTATACATGCATGTGTAGTGTGACCTAAGTGTGAGTAGAAGTAGCAAGATGTACCTGAAATCTTGCACGTTTATTAGACAGGAAAAAGACACCAGCAATCCTACCATCATGTAAAACAAGTACAGGCTTTCATTTTACACTCACTTGGCAGGATGGTAGTACCTCCTTGGGCGGCTGCAATATACAAAATATGACACAAATTGCTTAAGGCATACCTAAAATCTTTCATTCACTGCAAATTTATACTACGGATACTGTATATATGTTGGTAGCATTACCGACAATATGTAAAGTAAAAGGACACAAGTGCAACTAATGTGACATTTTATTGTGGCAGCGTTTCGCTCTCCAGGAGCTTCGTCAAGCCGTTATGGCTTGACAAAGCTAACTAAAAAGAAAATGATTATTAAAAAATACAAATAAAGTGTGACATATCTTTCTGCATTTATCGAATTCTAATTCTCCCAACAAGAATATTTCAGGTAAATCTATTACCTAACATTCTCACTAAACTGCTTGCTACTGTATCTTCACTAGGTGATAGATCAACCAGGTTGTGATGGATACGTAGGTCAGCAGGCCATCAGCAGCAACAGCCTGGCTGACCAGGCAAGCATCAGACAAGCCTGGGCCTATCACCAGGCTCCGAGAGTAGAAAAACTCTCAAATCTCATTGAAGGTATATCAAGACCCTTTCAGGGTCTGTGCCGTAGTTCTACAGCTTTGAGTTCTAGGTCCAAACCATAGTTCTACACCATGAGCTCGGCTCACTCAGATGACCTGTGAACGGTAAATTTGGGCCTAGGTATGAGAGAATACATCTATGTTGTAAGTGTGCACCACATAAAACAAATCCTGCAGCACACAGTGCATAATGAGAGAAAAAACTGAGACCATAATTTTGGATTAAAACAGCAATTTTGTGATGCTTTTTCGTATGTTTTTTTTTATAGTTATATTTGCGATTTCTTGGTCTCATTTGATAGAGTGGAAGATATATTACAGAAATAGAGATGATTTTGATTGGTTTTAGTAATGAAAATGGCTTGAAACCGAGCTCAAAGTAGCGGAAATGTTAAATTTTTGCCGATGTTCAAGAGTAAATAAATGACGTCACGTGTCTAATGTGCGTCAGCTGGTGGGTCTAATATACTTTCACGAATGTGGTGATATTATTTATACAATTATTACAATATTGCATAACAGTAAATCTTCTATTTTTTGGTGTGAATAAAAATTTATTATGTGAATAAAAAATAAAAATGGAATCTATTTGTAAAGCCTGAAAACAACTAATGAACAGAGGAAATGTTAGTTTAGTGCCAGGAATGTCTGCACTGTTTATTCTAGAGCCTATTTTGAAACTGGAATATTTTGAACTTTGTATTAAATTGGCCAAATTACCAATTTCCTATCACTTTATTGGATAGTTGAAACAGTTGACTTGGTGATTTCTTGTGCTCAATCGATAAATAGAAGTAATACTAGCGAAATGGCTAAGAATTTGGTCGACTGGAATAATTTAATTGGCCTAAAATGGGAGTCAAAGTCGGCAAAATCGCTGATGCGTAAATATCGCTGACGCATCAAAATTCGTGAGAGCATAATTTTGTCAATTTTACATCAAATTTCATACTTTTTGTTCTATTACCTTCAGAAAAAGATTCTCTACCATTTCCCCTTCTCCTGTATACATTACTACTGCCTTGGTGAGATACAGCCAGTTTGTTGAAAAAAAAATTAAGATTTACCACACCACAACCTGTCAAATTTTAAGTAGTGTGTAATCATTAGTATCAGTCAGTCAGAAATGCTCATGCATGCTAGTGGCTTTCTTTGTACTTAACAATACTTTATTACATGTAAACTACACACTGCATACTACACACGAAATATAATTTTGATTTGATTTGATTCGAAGGTAAATTTAGCCACAAGATTATAAAAAATTAATTTTTCCTTCTCAAAAAAAGTCAAGGTCAACCTACTCATGACGTCGGGTTATACTCTAGTTTAAACAGTATTTGTAGGTTCTCGTAACGTCTTCAAAACGTCTTACCTTGAGACCATTCCACATCTTCAATAAAAACATGGGATCTGGCTATGTCCACTCGGTTCCAGGTGAGTGCCAGTGATAGCTGCTCAGGAGGATTGAGACGTTGAGCATGCAACAATGCAGACAGTATACTTTGGTCTAACTCAGAACCTTCTTTCAAACGGAAGACAGTAATCTGTTACAGAATAAATTTATTTTACAATGGAAAGCTACTCCTTAGAGCATTATGAAAAGAATATTTATTCAAAATAAATATGTACTGTGTAATCATAGTCTCATGGACTTTACATTATGTTAAACAATAAATGAATTAATAATATTTAAAACTAAAAAAATACTAAATTTCTAATATAATTTTATCATTCAGCCTATTATCTGGTATATTAAATACATATAGCATGACTTTTTTATATCAACCTAACATCTATTGTATGCTACAAAATTTTAATTTCCTTCTTCTCAAATTGAATCACTTAGAACCAAGAAGGCTCTCATACAACCGTTCTCAATCCTACAACATAAAAGAATAAAAGACAACCATTAATGGCATCTTCTCAAGTACCCTTCTAATGAAATTAGGTGTTCCTCAAGGCAGCATCCCAGGTCCTCTTCTCTACCTTTCCTATATCAATGACTTCTTAAATGCCATCTGTCATCTAAAACCAATGCAACAAAAACTGCAATGTTGCAGCTCAAAAACTGCAATGTATCTCCACCCAATACTTTTCTGTCCAATATAATTAAGCCATTGCCAAGACAGTATCTCTTGCTTTCTCTCATTCTTCTCACTATAGGCTACCAAGTGTCATTAGTTGCTTTTTTTTTTTTTTTTTTAACTGTCAGCCATTTCCAACCAACATAGGGCAACCTAAAGAAATACATACACATTATCATACATGCAACAGATGCCTTGGCAGAAACATGCAGATGTCACAATCCAACAGAGATTAAATGCAAACAGAAAGACTTTAGAAGCTACTTACAAGATCCCTTTTGCGCACGCATTGTAGGATCTCAGCAAAGAGTTTTTCTGCCAGCAATGTTCTGAGTTCAAACACCCTTTCAAGTGCTAAAATAATAGTATCACGATTTGCCTCAATCATATTCAGCCCACTGGAAGCGTATCTGAGAAACAAACTTATGTAAGTTTACATTCAAAACCATTTTATTGTTCATAACTGATAGTAACACACTAATCACTGTCCCCAGAAAACTGAGCAGGCATAAGAAATATACTTCCGCTAATAATATACAATTTGTTGAAGAAGCTTAAGAAAACTTTTCAGTCTATTGTGGACCATTATCAAGTGACAACAGCTGTAGGTGAGTACAGTAACCCCCCATATCCACAGGGTGTACATTCCAAGACCTACCGCGGAAACCCGAAACCACGGATAGTAGTGAACCCTATATATAAACCATTTTTTTTCATTTGCACACGTACCTATGATAAAGTTTAATTGATAAATTTTGCACACTAAATCGAGAATTAACATTTTTTCACTGATGGGAAGCACTTCACGACTTCTCTTAAGCTTTGAAGAACTGCCAGCATCACTAATTTTACACTCTGGAGAGATTATTAAGCAAAACTAAGGGTTATTTTTGAGCCAGGGTAAACTGCAGAAACTGAACCTGTGGATATGGTGGTTCTACTGTACAAATAATAAGTGCATCTGCCTGACTCTCATGAGGAGGATCAAGTCTCCAAAATGTCTTGCGATGAATATTCCACATGGGTTTAGTGCCTAACATGAATTTAAATATAAAAAAAAGTGTGACTTGACAATGGTCCCAGGATGAAATAACACAACATTTGATGTTTTCTTCTCAATTGTGAGTAGGCTGTGAAGTGTTCCAGCCACTGTATTGTAACTTCTACTAAAGAAATGAGCTTCAGTGATGATTATTATTACAATCAAAAATAATCGCTAGCTTCAGTGATCATTATTATTATTATTACAATCAAAACTAAATGCTAGCTTCAGTGATAAGACCTACAAGATAATCTGTGAAGATATGCAACAGCTGATCAATGAACTATATTTTTTGGAGAGGAAGTTTGTTGTTAATTTCTAATAAGGTAAAGTTTATGCTTAGATAGAAAGGAGAGAAATATACAGAATAAGTATTGCAAGGAAAGGTAAATATGAGCACTCCATTAAAGAACTGTGATTTTTATACCCAAGGGACAAATAACAGTAAAAAAATATTCAAAAGCTTTATACAATAAAAAAATCAAAGGTAAAACTGACAAATATGAAATGACCTTTACAAGGTTGGTAGACAGCAACCACCCAGGGAAGTACTACCGTCCTGCCAGATGACTGTGAAACAGAAACCTGTAACTGTTTTGCACGATGGTAGGATTGCTGGTTTCTTTTTCTGTCTCATAAACACACTAGATAACAGGGATATCTTGCTACTCCTACTTACACTTTGGTCACACTTCACAGACATGCATGCATGCATGCATGCATATATAAATATATATTATATATATATATATATATATATATATATATATATATATATATATATATATATATATATATATATTATATATATATATAATATATATATATATATATATATATAATATATATATATATATATATATATATATATATATATTATATTAATATATATATATATATATATATATATATATATATATATATATAATATATATTTATTATTTTTTTTTATCACCACCGGCCGATTCCCACCAAGGCAGGGTGGCCCGAAAAAGAAAAACTTTCACCATCATTCACTCCATCACTGTCTTGCCAGAAGGGTGCTTTACACTACAGTTTTTAAACTGCAACATTAACACCCCTCCTTCAGAGTGCAGGCACTGTACTTCCCATCTCCAGGACTCAAGTCCGGCCCGCCGGTTTCCCTGAATCCCTTCATAAATGTTACCTTGCTCACACTCCAACAGCACGTCAAGTATTAAAAACCATTTGTCTCCATTCACTCCTATCAAACACGCTCACGCATGCCTGCTGGAAGTCCAAGCCCCTCGCACACAAAACCTCCTTTACCCCCTCCCTCCAACCTTCCTAGGCCGACCCCTACCCCGCCTTCCTTCCACTACAGACTGATACACTCTTGAAGTCATTCTGTTTCGCTCCATTCTCTCTACATGTCCGAACCACCTCAACAACCCTTCCTCAGGACCCTGGACAACAGTTTTGGTAATCCCGCACCTCCTCCTAACTTCCAAACTACGAATTCTCTGCATTATATTCACACCACACATTGCCCTCAGACATGACATCTCCACTGCCTCCAGCCTTCTCCTCGCTGCAACATTCATCACCCACGCTTCACACCCATATAAGAGCGTTGGTAAAACTATACTCTCATACATTCCCCTCTTTGCCTCCAAGGACAAAGTTCTTTGTCTCCACAGACTCCTAAGTGCACCACTCACTCTTTTTCCCTCATCAATTCTATGATTCACCTCATCTTTCATAGACCCATCCGCTGACCACGTCCACTCCCAAATATCTGAATACATTCACCTCCTCCATACTCTCTCCCTCCAATCTGATATTCAATCTTTCATCACCTAATCTTTTTGTTATCCTCATAACCTTACTCTTTCCTGTATTCACCTTTAATTTTCTTCTTTTGCACACCCTACCAAATTCATCCACCAATCTCTGCAACTTCTCTTCAGAATCTCCCAGAGCACAGTGTCATCAGCAAAGAGCAGCTGTGACAACTCCCACTTTGTGTGTGATTCTTTATCTTTTAACTCCAACGCCTCTTGCCAAGACCCTCGCATTTACTTCTCTTACAACCCCATCTATAAATATATTAAACAACCACGGTGACATCACACATCCTTGTCTAAGGCCTACTTTTACTGGGAAAAAATTTCCTTCTTTCCTACATACTCTAACTTGAGCCTCACTATCCTCGTAAAAACTCTTCACTGCTTTCAGTAACCTACCTCCTACACCATACACTTGCAACATCTGCCACATTGCCCCTATCCACCCTGTCATATGCCTTTTCCAAATCCATAAATGCCACAAAGACCTCTTTAGCCTTATCTAAATATGTTCACTTATATGTTTCACTGTAAACACCTGGTCCACACACCCCCCTACCTTTCCTAAAGCCTCCTTGTTCATCTGCTATCCTATTCTCCGTCTTACTCTTAATTCTTTCAATTATAACTCTACCATACACTTTACCAGGTACACTCACAGACTTATACCCCCTATAATTTTTGCACTCTCTTTTATCCCCTTTGCCTTTATACAAAGGAACTATGCATGCTCTCTGCCAATCCCTAGGTACCTTACCCTCTTCCATACATTTATTAAATAATTGCACCAACCACTCCAAAACTATATTCCCCACCTGCTTTTAACATTTCTATCTTTATCCCATCAATCCCGGCTGCCTTACCCCCTTTTCATTTTGCCTACTGCCTCACGAACTTCCCCACACTCACAACTGGCTCTTCCTCACTCCTACAAGATGTTATTCCTCCTTGCCCTATACACGAAATCACAGCTTCCCTATCTTCATCAACATTTAACAATTCCTCAAAATATTCCTTCCATCTTCCCAATACCTCTAACTCTCCATTTAATAACTCTCCACCCTATTTTTAACTGACAAATCCATTTGTTCTCTAGGCTTTCTTATCTTGTTAATCTCACTCCAAAACTTTTTCTTATTTTCAACAAAATTTGTTGATAACATCTCACCCCACTCTCTCATTTGCTCTCTTTTTACATTGCTTCACCACTCTCTTAACTTCTCTCTTTTTCTCCATATACTCTTCCCTCCTTGCATCACTTCTACTTTGTAAAAAACTTCTCATATGCTAACTTTTTTCTCCCTTATACTACTCTCTTTACATCATCATTCCACCAATCGCTCCTCTTCCCTCCTGCACCCACTTTCCTGTAACCACAAACTTCTGCTGAACACTCTAACACTACATTTTAAACCTACCCCATACCTCTTCGACCCCATTGCCTATATATATATATAAATATATATATATATATATATATATATATATACATACATATATATATATATATATATATATATATATATATATATATATATATATATATATATATTATATATATATATATATATATATACATACATACATATATATATATATATATATATATATATAATATATATACATACATATATATATATATATACATACATAATGGTGGTTGGGGATTTAAATGCTAAAGTGGGTAAAAATGTTATGGAGGGAGTAGTAGGTAATTTTGGGGTGCCAGGGGTAAATGTAAATGGGGAGCCTTAATTGAGCTATGTGTAGAAAGAAATTTGGTAATAAGTAATACATATTTTATGAAAAAGAGGATAAATAAATATACAAGGTATGATGTAGCACGTAATGAAAGTAGTTTGTTAGATTATGTATTGGTGGATAAAAGGTTGATGGGTAGGCTCCAGGAGTACATGTTTATAGAGGGGCAATGATATATCGGATCATTATTTTAGTTGTAGCTACAGTTAGAGTAAGAGGTAGATGGGAGAAGAGGAAGGTGGCAACAACAAGTAAGAGGGAGGTGAAAGTGTATAAAACTAAGGAGGAGGAAGTTAGGGCGAGATATAAGCGACTATTGGCAGAAAGGTGGGCTAGTGCAAAGATGAGTAGTGGGGGGTTGAAGAGGGTTGGAATAGTTTAAAAATGCAGTATATAGAATTGTGGGGCAGAAGTTTGTGGTTATAGGAGGGTGGGGGCAGGGAGGAAAGAGGAGTGATTGGTGGAATGATGAAGTAAAGGGTTGATAAAAGAGAAAAAAGGTAGCTTACGAGAGGTTTTTACAAAGCAGAAGTGTTATAAGAAGAGCAGAGTTATGGAGAGTAAAAGAAAGGTGAAGAGATGGTGAGAGAGTGCAAAAGGAGAGCAGATGAAAGAGTGGGAGAGGCACTGTCAAGAAATTTTAATGAAAATAAGAAAAAATTTGGAGTGAGTTAAACAAGTTAAGAAAGCCTAGGGAAAGTATGGATTTGTCAGTTAAAAACAGAGTAGGGGAGTTAGTAGATGGGGAGAGGGAGGTATTAGGTAGATGGCGAGAATATTTTGAGGAACTTTTAAATTT